AGGAAATTCAATTAAGTCTAGATAGGAAGACCAAGATGTTGTGACCTGTATTTTGGTGGCAGTCTCCTTTCGATGTGTGTTTGAATTTGTTTTCGCAAGGAAGACCGAGAGGAATGAACCTCGTATCGAGTCCATAGTAGGCATGGTAACAAAATTATAACCCTACTTTATTGAAAACTGTAATAGTAAGCTCTAGTGTTTCGTCTAAAAAGCGACTGTGTAGACTCATTAATCAAGTAAGGAGCAAACATAAGAGGAAGGCTTCAGCCAACCATCATTTATAGCATTTAATGAACAGACATGTCTTTGGATGTCTCCAATATTCTCTGCGAAACATATATTTTGAGGGACTCTAGAGGTTACTAGCTTCATTATTTACTCCATTGTAGGTTAATTCGATAAAGGTTATTTTAATATCTTTCTCTACCTAATAAGATTTTCCTTGACACATTCAACAAAAATTGTACAAACTGTACAAAAAAATAGAATTTGTAAAATATTACTAAAGAGTAAATAGGATGAAAAGATGAATTAGCCGTTAATCTGAAGGGATCAAATAAATGAGGGGCAGGATATTCAAATAAAAAAATGCACCCAAAGTATTCAAATTAGAAAGGAAAAGTCTTTAAGATGCTTCAGAACAATGTAGCTCTAATCCGGATAGTTCTCACCTTTCGGTACTGGGGGCATGGCCACTTGGATTCGCAGTTTTGGCGTTGCCAACCTCGCGAAATGTGCTCGCCTTTCGGCCAGTGACGATGGACTACCTCTTCTTTGAGTCTTCATTTTTAGGTTACATCCCACTTCTTTTTCTCTTTTACCACTTCTCCCTCTGAGTAGAAGGGGTTCAGTCCAGGATTTGGTTCCAGTGAAGGCTTTTCGCTGCTGGCGTTCGGATAAATTGACTTTGTCAAAAGACATCGAGTCTTGTTTTGAAAGGTGGAAATTTAGCTCTGCTCTACGCTTTTCGGCTCTAACACCTGCAGGTGTTTCTGGCCTTGACCGATAGGTGGCAAAGTGATCGGACCTAGTCGGTATTGCATCGGTGGAGACGACTGAAACAGCATCCGGTAGTGTTACCGAAGCTTTTTCTGAGTATGAAACAGGCTTGGATGAATTGCCTCGGTTTGTATTCTGCTTGACAGTGTTGACCTTAAGGCAACCGGGCCTATCGCCACGAGGCTCCTGCATCTTCCAAGCCTAAAAAGCAAAAGCCATGCTAAGCGGAGCTAAGTACTAAGAGTATCTGGGGTTCGAGGAATCTCCTGAGGTAACATTGTTGGGGAGACCTTCATTTCTTATGAAAGTGCATAAAGAAGAGAGGTTAAATCTCCATTATATGCAGATGAAATCCATCTCTTGATATCAGAAGGATAATGAATTATTATTTTCAATAGTGATTTTTACATGAGATAGCGTTTAATTGCTAGAATCAAAAAAATAAATTAAATCCTATTTTTCTTTTAGAATATATCCACTAAGCGTTATAATACGCAGATTATCCCACAGACTCTAGCTGCAAATTATGGCGATAACAAGCTTCCGATGAGTGATACAATTCGATATTTACCTAGAAGATGACTTTAAGAAGCTAGGGCACAATACTGAGAGGATAATTTGATGGACTGCTCCTACCCCACTGTGTTACTCATCAAAGAATCAACCGTTAAGTATTATCAGAGGATAATACTACCTTAGTAGGTGAATCTTCATGGAAAGTATAAGCTGCTCTTCACCATAGACATGACATGAAATATTGATGCCGGCAAAGCTTTTATTTCGTTTAAATAGGCGGATGAAAAGAATTCGTAAATTGGTCTTACTGGATACCGAAGGAGGACACCTCGGACTTGTAGCCTACTTCTAAATCCATAACCCTTTGTCGGCGGTTGTGTCCTGACAAGTCTTCCCAACAAAAACCCCACCACATGACCACAAGAGCATATAAGAACATAATCTGTAGAGGGAGAGGGAGTCTGGTTTGGACTCGAAATTGCAAGCTAACTAATGAGTATTGCACACCCACAACGCACACGCATCTTTGGAGCTTAAGTAAGCCTCAGTATTACAGAATCAAATAACGAGTTTATTTACATAAAGAAAAGCTATGACCACATCTGCTCCTCTTCTCGCATCAACTTCACTGGTATACACTCATGTAGGACAACACAAAGAAGCCGACCAAATCAACATCGCATATAACTGACTTACTGGTAGTCTCATGTCTCTACTTATTAACGAAAAATTTGTAATGTAGTCGATTGTTATAACAAATATAACTTTGCTGCTACGACATTCACACAGAGGAATGTGATATGGGAAAATACCTAGACTTGAAATTTACATCTGCTCCCTGATCCAAGGGCACTTGTGGCAATGTAGTGGAGTGGTTACCGTGTCGGGCTTACTGTCATGGTTCGACTCCCGGTAAGTCGAAACTGCAATCCACCCTGGATGGCAACAACTTTTGGGAAAACAAGGCCGTGAAATTAAATAGAAACGTCAGCTCAACTCATATCATTGCGGGAAAATTCAACTACCAGTCATTCATCACCTTAAACGGAATAGGGTGAATACACCTCATATAACTGATTTAATTATAGCCTTGAAACTCTGCTTATAAACGAAAAATCATGGGATGCCTCAGTAAGATAGAAAAGTGAGGTGTAAAAGTAAGTATAATATCAGCCAACAACCTTTCTTGGCCTAGTTCTTTTAGTAATTGTTGGTAAATAATGATTTATGACTTTGACGATGCCCGTCATATGACGGAGGAAAGCTCAGTACGGATGGATCGGGGTCACAGGGCGGTGAGCCGAGGTCTTCTTTGCACAATCCAAAGGTCACAAGTTCAAGTTATCCGGTGAGGCCAATCAACGAATCCCTTCCACTTCCCTTCCCAAACTAAATGGAAGGTATGCCAGTAGTAATGTACGAATGGACTTTTCAGAACTAAGCCTCTCTTCATATAAGACATTAAATAGCCAAATAAATTATGGAATACTCTATTTAGTAGAAAATATTAATGTGAAGACTTTCATTTCGTAAGGAAGTGCACGATAAAGAGATTCGTATGTCTATCCCACCAGAAGAGATGAGATGCTCGCATAGCATATAGAAAAAAGTTAGTTGGTCTTCTTTACTTAATGTTAACTTGAGCCTCTTAAAACTTTCGTCACATGACAAATGAAAGCTCAGTCCGTCTCCGCCCGAAATGTTGGAGGATGTCTCGTGGACTGCATCAACCTGAACTTCGTATTAAGGCAAAACAGCTGCAGTACAACGCGAATCAGCCGATGTCTTCTGGTGAGATTGACTTACGAATCTCTTCCTCATGTACTTCCATACGAAATTAAAGTCTTTAAAGCAATCGTATCTCAGGAGATTCTTCGAAATCCTCATTTTATTTGGAAAATATCAGTCTGTAAGTATGTGACATTGCGCCCGGCCACCTTTCTTATATTCGCGTTGTATTTTTTCATAAAAAGTAGTTTCAAATTGACGATGCTTGTCAAATTGCAGATGAAAACTTAGCACAGATTTATCGGGTCGTGGGCTGATTTATTCCAACAAATCTACAGTTACAACTCCAAGTAAATCCTCATTCTGCTTCTGAGAAAGCCAATCTGCGAATTCCCTTCAGTCATGTTTTAAACGAAACGAAAGCTACGCCAACATCAACCAATCAAGGGTTTCTATAAAATACAGCTTTTCTTTAAATCTAACGGATGAAAGTACCAAGGTCTAAATAGATAATTTCATCCATAATACTCCCAAGAATTCTATCATACATGAAATGTAACAGATGTAAGACTCAGATACCGTCTTAAATGAGTATACTAAACTGAGGCTTTGAAGCAATTTAGTGAAAATCACTTACTTGCAATTCTTGTAACAGAGTGTTGAGTAAAGAAAAGTCATTCTGTGTAGTACTATGCTGATCACAGCATACGTACCCAGCATCCTTACCCTCAACAAGAGATAATTCACCCAATTTCTGAAAATGGGTATCTGGGGTAGATTCCTATGAAAAGCAAAATAAAGGTAATAAAGTTGAAATTCCAGAGAACAAAAGCTTGCATGGATAAAGTCTAAAATTGCACCCATGAATCGTTTAAATGTGCTAAATAATTATAAATGAGAAAATAAGAATGATGCAGTTCAAATAGTAATTGAAAGCTTATTAGCCCTTTAGAATTTGTAGTCAAAGTCTACGAAGACCTCTGTAGACAATTAAACTAAACCAGTGTAATGAGATGTATTCACCCTATTTCGT